TTATTTAGTTATTTGTAGTAAAATACGCCTGCTCTTTTCACTCCGGTGTCTGAGTTTAATTGAGATCCCTAATCAGAAAAAACACACAAGCAATCAACAGGTTTCAATCAGCAGATACCAGCTGGATGACCTAGCTGGTTTGAAATCTGTGATTGCCTGTGGAGCTTTTGAGCAGAGATCCACAGAGGCTGCTGCAAGGCTTGACACTCTTAAACATTTTCCTCAATGATCTGGAAATAAATATAAAATTACCATTGACATAACTCACAGACAACACAAAGACAGCCAGCACAAAAAATACAATGAGTCACACAGAGCAGTCTGGGTGGCTTGGGGCCGTACAGCCAAAATGCACGTTAATAAAGCCAAAAGCTAAGTCAAAATCTGGGAAAATGCAGGAGGTTGTGGCCTGAGATCTGCACATGATTTCTGGGGAAGAAGGGCTCTAGTAGTTTTTTGGGATGACAAAGAGCAGGCAGTCGGTGTGATCTTCTGGGGAAAAGGGCTACTGCCATCCCTCAAAAGAGAAAAACTTTGCTATCAAGAGAAGCTCGTGGAGATTCAATTGGGCTATTTATTTTCAGACATAATAAACCAATGAAGATTTAAGTGTCAAGGGAGAAGATCTTAGTGACATAAATTGTGGTTTCCCCATGTCCTGGGGCATGAGATCAAGATGAGATGCCCACCTGGACAAGAAGGCTTAACTCCATGCAGAGGGTAACTGGGAAGGCTGGAAAAGCCTTGGCCACAGAGCCTGCCCAGAGAGGAATCATCTGACCACGCACTGCCATGGTGGGGATTGCAGGACTTTCCTATTTCTGCAAACCCGCTAACCTGTTTTTATTTCTGCATGCCTGGGAAGCTGAACCACAAGCATAGTTGCCCACACATCGTGTTTCCTCCTTATGCAACTGTTCCAAAACCCCAGCCCTGTCGCTAAAAGCAAAGGCAGACTCATCTTCACCTGTCAAGACACACCTCGTATTACACACTGGGCAGGATGGAGCAGCTTTGCTGCTACTGGCCCAGAAAGGTGAGCTGAGGAGTTAAACTGGTGTTAATTTAGCTTTGATGAAAGAACTATGACCTGTTTTTTTTTCACTCTATGTCTAATGGTTGGTCTGGAACACAACTGTCAGACGCAGTCCCATCAGTTGGATGGTGGCACCCATTTGAATGCCCGTATGGACCACAGAGTCTCCAGTTGGGCATAAGGGCTTGCAGGATTGGGGTCTTCTGGATGAGCAGACAGATAAGAAATGCTCCAAGACTGTATGGAGGGGGGATCCCCTCCTTGGGGAAAATTCCTTTGATGTTGTGGGCATTGTACTTACATCTAGGGGCTGTCATCTTGAGTGCCACAGCCAGGATGTCCCATTAGAGACAATGGAAGTCGCTGAGTTGCTGTACTGGATAAAACTGGTCATCTCTCCAGTGTCCTAGTGTTAAGGGGGCCAGCTCTAGAGGGACCAGAGAGGCAGCAAAAATACTGAAAGAAAAACAGTGACAACATAGGCTCATAGAAGGTCTGGAGTCTCTTTCAGAGAAGAACCATGTTGAACCCTTCCGCATTTTGTGTTTTCCTAAGGCCAAGCTCAGGCTGTCCTTGAGAAGGAACGTATGTCAATTTTCCTGCACTTCCAGCCAGCATGGCCCACAGCAGAAATCTGATCAGAAGGTGACAGAACTGTGGGCGATGGTGGAGGCAGAAAGGAAGTAGTCTATCGTAGAGTATTTAAGGCTCAGAATCAGCACAGCTGGGAGTCAAGTTGCCATGAAGAGCAATTTTAATGAGGTGGAGAAGGCCAGAAACTCAGGGTTCAAATTCTCTGATGAAGACACTAACTCAAGCACAGATTTTGGCCAGGTCAGTAACAAGTGTCCACTCCCAGAAGTGGCTGATGAATCAACAAGGTTGGACATTCATGGCGGTGTAGAGATGTTTGTAAGGAGAAAGATTTTTCTTCAGTGATTTTGCTTGTTTTGCGTGTATATCTGAAATTATCTCCCTGCAGGAGAAAACCGGGGAGACTCCTTCTACCGTGCGTAACATAAAGTGACTTCAACTTCTGAAGCGTGCAAATGGGATTCTCAAACGTTGTAGATGAGCAGGGCTCTGCCGAAATTCAGGGGAGCACGGACAAAGATCTTCTCCCCTCACCCTTTCAATACCAAATCCATCAAGCTATGCTGAGTATAAGGAAATTCATATGTATAGAAACAAGAGGCAGGTTGGTTATTCTCCCCCACTGGAAGTTTAGCATCCTATATTTGGTTTTCTGTAATGAGCATGAGATTTTTTACATAGTTAGAAATC